GCCGCGCGGTGTGTGAGGCGATAGGTGTGGGTGGTGACGACACACAGTTTCAAAGAGGGGGCCAACTTCGAAAAACATTGTGTGAAAGCAAATTCTGTGCCAGCTTGTCTCAACGGGTGGGAGGTGAGAGATCATCAATAAGATGCTATTCCAGCTGATTTGCATCGTGATCAGCCGCAACTTTCTCATCTGCAATAATGCAATATATTTGAATCTTCTTTTAAACTCATAAACGTGCGTCTGCTTTCTTGCAAAGGGTTATCACTGTACTCTGGATGTCACGGCGAAGGTGTCGGACGGGGAGCCAGGACAGCAAGCTTCAAGTCCCCTCTCAGCCGCAGAACCTCGCCGGTAAACTTTGGATCGGTCCCACCCTACCTTACAGGGTTGTTGCAATAAGGAAAAGATGCAGGTAAGCCGTCCTGAGCATTGTGCGGGGAAAGGCCGGAGGGAGAATCTAACTCATCAATAAACGCGTAGCGAGGCAGCGTGCCCAGCCAGGACACCGCCGAATGCTTCGGAGATGAATGGGAGGAGGAATCCAATAAAACAGAATTGCAATTTAATGCATGACAGATGTCCAAATTCCTTGATTTCGCCTCCGGCTCTTTCCAGAAATAAACCCGCCGTTTGCAACGTCGGGCTCATCGGCTGTGACCTGGCCGTAACAAATTAGTCAAAACCCCCTGGACGGTCTTCCTGGGGAGGATAATAATCCAGAAACCCCCTGGACGGTCTTCCTGGGGAGGATAATAATCCAGAAACCCCCTGGACGGTCTTCCTGGGGAGGATAATAATCCAGAAACCCCCTGGACGGTCTTCCTGGGGAGGATAATAATCCAGTCTTTAAAAAAACAAAAAGGGGTTGAAATAGAGGTGTGCAAAAAATAGTTCTTTGTCGGGCATGGCTCCTGAAAAGTATCTGCAGGATCCCCCTGGGGATTCTCACTCCTGCACTGCTTAGATCCTAAACTGGCCAGGGTTTGGCAATCTGTGGGGTACGAGTTGCAACTAACCTGGATATTCCAGCTGATAAACAGGGTTGCTAAGGGCTATCCCGGCCCAAATTTGTTTGCTATCCCTGAAGTATGCCAACACTTCAGCTTTCTTATATATAAATCTTGGAATACGATCCCCTAAGATGCACCAGAGCATTGAACAGCCTTACCAGCTCCCTCTGTCCATGGGATATTCCCACAATGCATTGTGCAGGATGCTCTAAGCCATCAAGGCGGCCGAACAGGGCCCGACGGAAAACTTACGGAGGCACGTCCTGCCGTCAGCGTGCAGACGAAAGCCCGGCTTGCATTCGCAGTAATAGCTCCCCGGGGTGTTCACACATCTGTGCTGGCAGCCGCCGTTGTGAGCTTGGCACTCGTCAACATCTGGAAGGGAAGCAACATGGAAGCGAGAGAATCTCAGCTCAGCAGTTTCATGGGCCAGCTCGCCGCCCCGGGGAGACGGCATCGTGGCTTGCCAGTCCTACCCAAGCAGACATTTGTCCCCGTCGAAACCGGCAGCCGGTGGAAGGAGAAAACAACATAAAATTAAAAAAAAAAAACACAGGAAAAATGAGGAGGAATTTGGTAGCCCCTTTTCCAATCAAGAAATCTTATTTTTTTCTTTGTGAGTTGTAGCTCCAAAATCTTATGCCTTTTAATATAACATCTTGGTTGGAAAAGGGGCTACCAAATTCTGGCTTTTTTGCACTGTAAACTAACACAGCTCTCCTCCTATAACATCTGTCAAGAAGATCTAGGAAGACAGCCAATTTCAGGCAACGGGTTATCAGGACAGAGTGCGTGGCCAGACGATATTCATCTTTCTTTCTTGGCCCTCTATTAAAGAAAGTGAACTTGGAAACATTCTGGATTAATTTGGGGGACTGGGCCTAAAATAGACGCACGTAGGTGACCCCAGGAGAAGTGTGATGCGAGGGAATCTTTACCACCTAAAGTTAAACAGGGTTGGGCCCAGTTAGTTTTTGGATGGAAGACCACCAGGCGATCCCAGGACCAGACTGTGAAGTCACAGAAGCGTCCACAAAAATGGAAACGATCCGAAAAAGGAAAGAACAAATCATTTGCTGGTGGTTGCCAAGTTGCTAGAAATTGATCTCAGTTCAAAGGAGGTTTCATTTGAGATCCGAAAGTCTGCTCGGCGCAGGATTTCAGATTCCGAATGCTACCGAGCTCACCTCAAAGATCCCATCCCGTGAACTGTGCGGAAACAGGTTTCTTCCAAGGTGAGCTTCGTTTTTAATTAAAAAAAAAAAGAAATTAGAAATGAAGAGCCCCAAAGATCTCATGTTTCCACAGGCTGCCCGTTTCCGGCTTGCCTCGCCCACATCGCCCCACCGGAAAAGATCACGCGCAGGTCGAGAGATCCTTTTCTTCCCCGTCTTTAACTCAGAGGTTTTAGCTTTACCCGATCACAAAGGAGCGATTCCACGTTGTCTGCGTTTCGTTGCGCAGATCGCGGCCCAAAGGGAAAAGAAATGGCTTTTTCCACTCTAAACGGAATTCTTTCTTCCCCTTGTTTCCGCAACAGCGGCATCTATTTAAGACAGCAAAGTGTTTTTTTCTTTTTCTTTTTCCATTTTCTGTTGTTTCACTCCCCCCTGCTGCCCCACACCGTCTGGGCCCTGGAAGGGAGCAACTGGCTATCTGCCTTCTGGCGCGCTGCCTGCTCGCGGCCTCCTGCCAAACGTCTCTTTCGAACCCAAACCAACATATTTGGTTCCAGCCCACGGAAACCGGACCATTCAGCTTGGCACGCTGCAGGGTTTGGACCCTGCCAGGAAACCCTGATATCTGACTCTAAGCGAAGCCTGGATCGCGATTCGGGTCTAAAAGCATAAGGAAGTGTGGGTTTGGAAACGAGTTTGGCACGCCTGACGGGCCTGTGTGCAAATCGGCTTTTTCAGAACTTCCTCTCGAGCCTGGGATCTTTCCACTCAATCGCAGCACGACAGGGCTGAGGGGGGCCAGAGGGGTCATCTAGTCCAACCCCCTCTGCGCAGGATCGACTACCGCATCTCGGACGGGTGACCCTCCAGCCTCTGTGTGAAGACCTCCGGCGAAGAAGGACTCCCCACACCATGTGGCAGCCCGTTCTGAGCCTCCTTCCTTGGGAGCCCGACCCCACAGATCCCATCTCTGCCCCCTGGGGCCACAGATGGACTCCACACCCTCTTCTGGGAGACCCCCCTTCAGATATTTGAAGGCTGCTGGTATCTTCTGAGGCTAAACGTATCCAGGTCCTGCCAGATCTCAATAGTCCTCTTCTGAACACGCCCCAATTTGCCCCTCTCCTATTTGAATGGTGGTGCCCACAACTAGATTCAGGACTCCAAGAGGGGTCTGTCCAAGCCAGAATAATGGGGGACAATCCAGTCTGGACTCTCTCCTCTTGTTAATGCACCCCAAGATAGCATGGCCTTTTGAACAGCTGCGTCGCATTGCCAGCTCGGGTTTGTAATGGAAAAGAAGAGGCATTCCCCGGGTGAGATGGGAAGAGAAGAGGCATTCCTTGCCGAGATAGGTAGAGGAGAGGCGTTCCCTTGTGAGATGGGAAGAGGCTTTCCCCCCAAGATGGGAAGAGAACATGTGTTTCCTCTTGAGATGGGAAGAGAAGAAGCATTCCCTGTTGAGATGGGAAGAGAAGAGGCTTTCCCTCTTGAGATGCAGTGAAAAGAAACCTTCCATTTGGTGAGAGGAGGAGGAGAAACGTGTCTTCTAACATGGAAGAGGGGAGACTTTCCCTCTTGGGCAGAAAAAAGTAGAAGGAATGCCTCTTCTGTGATGACAGAAGAGGCACTCTCTCTCTGTGTGAAAGGAGAGGCATTCGCCTTTGGAGCAGCTGGCTCATGGCCAACAAGGACAACCAGAGCCATCTCACGGGACCTTCTGCCGAGCCCGGCCTCTCCCCACCCGATATTTCCGCCTTTCCCCTTCTTCTCCCTGCTTCAGCTCCATCTTGTTCTTTTCAGCCCAACCTCCCCAGATCTTGGTGAATCTCCCCTCTTCCCTCCACAGCAGTGTTCCTCAACCTCAGCAACTTTAAGGGAGTGGACTTCAACTCCCAGAATTCCCTTAAAGTTACTGAAGTTGAGGAACACTGTATTAGCCCCTCCTCAACCTCCTCCAGCTTTGGGTCATCTCCAAACTTGGGAAGGTCCTTCAACTCCTTCTTCCAAGTCTTTGATCTGAAGGTCACCAAGTGAAGTGAAGCCATTTAGCCAGAGATGAGTCCATCTAACATGGATCTGGCAGGTCAGCCAAACAGAGAAATCAAGGAATTCCAGGGCTGTCAAATTCAGCGATCAAGTCACGGGGCTCCGAGCTCTCAAGCATATGTGTGAACCAGACCGGAAAAGGCTTCAAAGAGCATCAAGGTGGACTCCCACAATAGCGTTGTCTCCAAGCACCTTTTGATGACTGCTAAGAGATGGTGGGATGTGATCTCAAAGCCTTCAACCTCAGAAAGAGAAGTCTGGAAGTCTGGCCTTCTAAACCAGGAGTCCCGAGGGACCCCAAATAAATGTGGACAAGTTCTCCACCCAGCCTCAGTTTTTCTCCTCCTTGTATGAGAAATGGGCAGAAACAGGAGTCTCCGCAGGAGGTGGGGGGGGAGTGATGTCACACATCCCAAAATTTACATCGTTTACATCGTATACACAATGCAAGATACCTGTGTGTGTGTGTGTGTGTGTGTGTGTGTGTGTATCCACACATGTGGCTTTAGAAGCCACAATGGCTATGTTTCTGCAAAGCCACAAGGCCAAGCAGACAAGCAACTACCATTGGCCAAGCCTTCCATTGCCCTAAGCCACGAATGATGGCTTATGAACCACAACCTTCTAAGCCAAATCCATGCCACCCTGTGGCTCATGATGAACCCTGGTGGTGTGACTCGTAAGCGAGGGGAAACATCCTTTGATCCAACCTGTTTCACTCACTTCCCCACAGCTGGCCCCGCGGGAACCATCTAGCTTAAGAGCATTGGAAGTGCCCTGAAGTCAAATTATTGGACTAACTGGAACCAAATAACCCAGAAAGGTTGTGGGTTAACCTCCAATGGAAGCAGGGCCATGCTGGCCTGGGGGGCTTTCATTCAGATTCCTGAAATGAGCAGGTTGGACTAGATGGCCTCAAGAACCCCTCCCAACCGTAGGATTCAAAGACAAGGTCCCTTCTACCCCAGCATTCGGGCTGCTCCACTCACCCGACAGCCAACTGCAGCATTCCCACCCCAACCGGTCCTTCCATGCGTGTTTCCCTGCGCTAATAGTACACATAAGAGATCCACGGCTGCCATGCATTCTTCTCCGTGGCTTAGCTTGGTCCTCTAACAAAGCCCCCCAAACGGACAACCACCCCCAGCTGCAAATCCCACCGTACCAAACGCCCACTGCTCACGCTCACCCCACTGGGCAAATCTCACTTGATTGGTGGAATACTGATGCGGACATTGCCACCATTCCAACCTGGAGCGCCCACCACAGCTGTGTTGTATTCAACCAACCGACCAACCAACCCTGGGCGATACAATGATCTGCTGAAGGCAAAATACAGATAGATGATTGATTGATTGAATCTACAGCCCCCCTATTAACCGCAGCTCGCCTTCAACTCACCTGGCCTCATCTCAGCGCGACCCCCGCCATATCCAGCTTGGCCACTGTAACACGGATAGCAGTTTTTCCAGAGGTACCGATAATGCAGCCCAAAAGCTCCAGGGAAATGACTCCACACCCCAAAGCACCAGAGCATCAACCCGCACAGCCTCGGCTTCCCTCCCTGCATGACGCCAGCCGTTTTCTTCCCCCGAAGCAGAGAAAAGCGGGTGCTCGGCTGAGCCGAGAAGGCAGAAACTTCAGCAACCACGCGAGGGAGCGTTCCTCCTCTCCTCTCAACGGCTGCGGTCTTCTGCCCCCCCGTGCGCCCCCCCAAAGCCCAACTCCCTTGTTGGATTTCCTAGCAGCGCATCGCCCGAGACCAACTTTGCAGCCCTGCCTTCCTGTGCCCGGCTTTAAAACGGGCTCTGCTTTCAGATCGGCCCCTTGCAGGTGAAGCCAAAAATACCCCCCCCCGTTGCCCCCCCTTCCACCTCGCACATATTTCTGTTGCGTGCGTTGCATGAAGCGCGCACACAGACGTGCACGGAGCAAAGGAATTCTGGCTGATCAACTTGGAGGCGTCCGTGCATTCTTGGCCTGGGCCCAAACTGGATTCTAAACTTGGCCATGTAAGCAAAGAAGCTGGAAGGGGGGCCGGAGGGGGGTTAAATTAAGTCCACATTTTGGGAAGTCCTGCTTGAAGCTGAAGGGCACCAGCACAGTGAGGCTTTTTCGCCTGCGGAGCCGAGAAAAACCTTCCCGGGA